AGAACAACCTTTAGAACACGGCCAAAGAGCCCAAAAAACCCAGAACAACCAATATACTGTAACTTTAACCAAATACTTCTTTAAAATACACAACGGTGGTATGACAATGTTATTTAGTGTGGTAATGAATTCAAAATATAACACACACTTATATATATCACATACACATCTTCTCAGTAATTTGAAATGGAACTTATCTCATTTCAGCCCCAGCAAACGCCAACAGTTTGTTAATGAGCATTGGGCTTCTTCATATCTCACAATGACTCTGCCCGTTTTGTTACTCTTTTTCCAAACAAATCTTTGGTGTTTAGCTTTTCCGTGTGTACTTTGATTTTGAATATACTACTGCTGTAGCTTCTTCCTCTACTGCTCACATAGTATCAAAAGGATTCTTTTGAGAGAAGAAAACATTACACAACATTTCCACACCACTATTGTGTATCTTAAAGAAGCACCGTAATGGGGTAAAGTTATAGCATATTGTGATAAATGTCAGCATTGTTTACGTGATGTTTTTTGATTAGTCGTGACAAAGTAGAGATAGGCTTAGTCTTCAACTTTGCTAAGCCGCAAATCTTGAGAAAAAACTCATTGTGAGAGGGAAATGGGATAACTGGAGGAAACAGGCATTCCTCATAATGTCCAGTTTGACCCCATGGGTCAGCTGGCCTGCTAACCACATCTATCCTAATGATTTTGCACTGATCATTTCTGGCAACTATATTCCTGGTTGTGAGTAACAGAGAGCTTGGAGAACTAGAGTAATTTAGCAGAGCTGAGTCCTGGAAACTTTTTTCAGTAAAAGGAGGCAGATCTTCCATGTTAGCCTAAGAGATTGATTAATTGATTGAAAATTTTTTTACCCTGTCTTTCTCCTTAAAAAGGGTCCAAGGTGACTTGCGTCAATAAAGGGAAGCATGCCTAGAGTACATTATTACAAGTATTAAAAGCAACTTTTCTCCCTCTTGGTGGTTTTATCTACTTAATGAAGAAATTCTGCACTGAATTATTTGCGCAGCCACTTACAGACCACTTTTACATTTATTTTCAGCTCCCGTTTCCCGGCCAGTCCTTTACCAACCAGTTTCGCAAGTTGCAGTGCTGGGGAAGCATTTTGTTCTGTACTGCAGTTCCCTATATGGAACTCCGCCTATCACTTATACTCTGTACCAAGGGAACATAACGATTAAGAATGAAATGATAGGACAAAGTAATCTCACAGCAAAGTTTGAGGTCCAAGCAACTACTAGGCACCCACCACAAGAATACTGGTGTACGGCTAAAAATGGCCACTCCGTAGCCCAACGAAGCCGTGCTCTAAATATCACAGTGATAGGTAAGTGTTTGGTGTGTGGTTGTTGATTAAGGACAGCCATATGGGCTAACTTTCAAAGCCTTTATAGCCAGGAAGGGGCTTTTCTGGCCCTTCAGATGTCATTGAACCATTTACTTTTCTGACTTCTCATGGTCAGATCCTGATCAAGCTAACCGACCACCTCAGTGCAACAGAATATATATAGATATGCACTGTTTTTAAACAATTATTATTAATGATGAGGTTAAAGGTTTATAAAACAAATTATCCATTTGTTTCTCATAAAATCAATTTCTTGAACTCTAACATTGCCTTTAGCTATACTGACAAGGGGCCGATAGGTGCTGGATGCAACAACCAACATCCAGAGGACCATACCTTCCTTTCCCTGTTCTTTGTATTAAGAATAGGCATTTTATTATTGATGCAGAAAACCTGCACTTTTTTGCATGAAAGGTGTAGGCCAAATCCTACTGTTGTCTGTCATTAGCCATCTGTATAATGCTGTGGTGGATTGCAGCTAACTGACCGTGTGCAGTGGGTGTCTCAGAAACAACATGCTGTGGATTGCAGCTAATTGACCGTGTGCAGTGGGTGTCTCAGAAACATATTTACTCCCACACCAGATTGAGCAACTAAGAACCACCCTGCCTCCTTGTTGGTTAGCTGCAATCAGCTGCAACAAGTTACACAAACCTTAGGGGCATGGCACCATGAATCCAACCATCCTTTTGCATGCTTGTGACACAAGGACAGAAACCATGATACCAAGAAGGAAATAGAACATCTCTGGAGCATCTGTGATGAACCCCACATGAAGATGTTGTTAAGAGTAAAATTAATAAGAGAACTTCATTTTATCTGAGGCCAGTTTGTATCCCCAAATTACTTATATAGTTAACAAGCAGGTAAATAAACTTGGGACATACCTAGGTGACTGGTCTGTGTAGCAGGGAACTTTTGAGTCTCCAGTTGATTTCGACCTCAGTTCTCAGAAGTCTAGTGCTCCAAAATGTATTTTAGAGGATGAAACATTTCCCAGACTTGTTCTATAAGCATGTCCCAACATGTTCATAGAGCACATGGCACTAACTTGACCAGAAAAAAGTAGCCATTTTAATTCATGGCGTTGAACCATGGGTTGTCAAGGTGCAAGCTCTATTATTTGAATATATTTCCTGTGACACCTTTGCACTTATGAAAAAGGATTTAAAATCATATTATTGGCAAGAGTTCTGTGTCCTCCAGTTGATTTCAACCTGAAATGTCCGTGTGCGATTGGCCTTTATATCGCCTCTTTCTACCGACTTCCAGTACTTCCATTATTTGTCACACCACAAGCATTTCCACTGTACTGTTTTACAAATACTGTAGCTACTTTTGGGGCCTCATCTTTGTATATGTTCATTCACAGCTCCAGTCGTCAACATAACACTCACAAAACAACCAGACGGGGATGTAGAAGATGGTGGAGACTTTGTCCTTTTCTGTGAAGTCCATTCTGGATCTTTTCCGATTGAGTTCACCTTTTTTAGAGAAAACCAGGTGACATTTTTATATAAGAAGAAGGTGAATGAAAACAAAGCTCATTGGCACAAGACAGGACTCACAAGTCAAGATGGAGGGAAGTACTTTTGCAGAGCTGATAACCAAGCAAAGTTATCTCTAAAGAGCAACACCGTCACGGTCAGCAGTAAGTTCTGCTCTTTGTGCAGAAAGCATTTAGAGAAATAACTGGGTGCCTTTCAGGTTATTTTAAGGTGGGGCCCCCAAAGCTAGTGTTGCTGGTTATAGTTGGAATACTTGACTTTTCCATGCTTTGATTATAAGAGCTTGTACTGTATGTTGACTAGATTTTCAAACAAGAGGACAATACTGGACATTTGAAGGGCAAATTTCTCATGTAGGCTGGTTTTAGTATTCTTCCTCCTCTCAATGGAACCCTTGCCTTTAAAAAAATGCACTGGTGGCCAGCTGAAAACTACTTGCTGATGTAACGAATATTTATCCATTTATCTATTTATCTATTTAGGGCAAATTTCTCATGTAGGCTGGTTTTAGTACTATTCTTCCTCCTTTCAATGGAACCCTTGCCTTTAAAAAAATGCACTGGTGGCCAGCTAAAAACTACTTGCTGATGTAAAGAATATTTATCCATTTATCTATTTATCCATTTATTTGTTTGTTTGTTTGTTTGTTTGTTTGTTTGTTTGTTTGTTTGTTTGTTTGGCTAGTTGCTAGCTAGCTAGCTTCAAGATCACTCAACTTAGTGAAATACTACTCAGGGCAGTTTACATAATTAAGCAAAACAAACAAACTAAAATAATAAAAGGATGCATAGATAATGCCACAAAAACAGGAAGGCAAGCAAGGATTGTCACCTGGTAGCTTAGGTGAACTAAAATTATATAAACCGTACCATAGTAACAGAATGTCCAGTGATATAATAAAATAATCAATAACTGCAATAGAATACGGGGCTCAAAAATTAACCTAGAATTTTGCCAAAGGCCTCCTTAAATAATTCAGTTTTTGCTGATCTTCTAATGATTTGTAGGGAGGGGGGCTGTCTAATTTCTGGTGGAGGTTTATTCCACAGAAAAAGCCTAGGTTCCTAGTATTCTTTTTCCTTATTTGCCTCATGGTAGACACTCTCAACAGTGCAACCTGAGAGGAACGGGCTGGACAGATAGATACCCTTCAGGGAAGGCGCTCCAATAGGTAAAATGAGAAGGAATGGTAGAATTACTGTATCCTATGATTAATGATGATTTGGGTATCATTACTGGGTATCCTTGTGACACTTGTCTCACTAAAACATACAGTCAGTGAAAAAGGAAGTCCATCTTCTTTGGATTTTGTGGTTTCACATTTGTAGTGTTTCTTCATAGCTATCTAGACTGGCATCCCTGAGTGCCTCAGGAGATGCCTGTACGTTACAGCAGTGTGTTGATGCAGTAATAGCTCAGTAGTATATTATGCCTGAATCATGACACAAATTTCTCTGGATTTATAGTTATTTTGGCTTCATGGAAGAAAATGCTCATAGTGACAATTATCATGCTCCTGCTTCTTGGTGCTGCCATTGCGATAGCCCTCAGGTGGTGGTGTCGTAAGAAGGCAAAAGGTAACTGAGTTTTCACTGATTTGGCAAAACCTTCTGACTTGTACTCCCCATATTAAATGTCCACACCAAGTGCACTTCTCAAGACTGGCTCCTATCTATTGCCCCCTTTCTATAACAGTTTCATTCATTGTTTCTGCTATGACTTTTTGTTTACCATTGTTAGCTAAAAACCAAGATTAACAAGCTACTCATAACCATGCATACAAACTAATAATGGAAACTAATTGGAGTTAATATTAACAGTTACCAACCAATGCTTAATGTTTTGCTGAAGTATTTAAGGAAATTTTGGGGAGACAGTTTAAGGAAATTGTGAACCCAGAAGTCCTTTGTCCAATACTGGGTTGACAGCATGTTATATTGCTTCATTTATTTATACAAATGTGTTTCTATACAGTACCATATAGTAAATTGCTGTTATTTTCCATTTTTTTCAAGCCAGAGGTGATTTTGTGGAGTTGGACAGGTAGGTTGATTTCCTACTGTTCAAACTGAGACATTTCTGAAAAATGGGCAATGATGTATATATCCCTCCCCCCCTCTTTGTGTGTCACTTTTCAGAACAGATGCATTGAATTACTAAGTGAAGTAGACTCCATGCAGGGAGGAAATTAGAATAGATTTTACTATAAGAATGGCATGCTAGCACAAGCAGATATACAAATACTGTATTAAAGTACACATACTTCAGATGGCACCGCTGGTTCTGATGATCGTAAATTATACTCTAATGCGATCACCTTTCTATGAATAATAATGACAAAAATCCAAGAATACCATCAAAATCTGTGGAAGCAACTCCAGCTCTCCTGGGATCCATCATATTTTGGAATATAACCTGAGTGGTATGAAGCCCTTTTATTAAAAAAAAACTTCTGCTGGGGGAAGGACCAAGTTTCAGGAGCCCAAGCCAAGATGTTGGTTTGCTTCTGACTGCTCTGCTGTTGGATTCTTCTTGTTTGTATTGCATTTTGTGCACATCTTGGAGATCCTGTTAGGTAGAAATAGAAATATTTGTTTAGAATGACTCTATTTTAATCCTTTGTTGTTCTGTGACTATTATGTGCTGTAATTTTGCATTCCTGACAACATTTTAGCCACATGTGTCCATCCAACCTAGATGCTAATAGCTAGAGACATCAGGGTGGGTGGGTTTGTAAACTGGCTTGTTCATAATACATAGCATTAGAAGTACCTGTGATGTCTCTCTGATTTTTCAGATTGCATGCCTTCTGTGCTGCACCAAAACTATAGGTGCATTTATAGGAGTTTGATTCTATTTTTACTGCCATGGTTCCATCCTAATGAATGCTTGTATTGGCAGCTCAGCGAGATTAGAATTCTCTTCCAGAGAGCTATAGCACCCTCCCCTGAAGAATTCTGTGCACTCCACCAGACTAGACTTCCCAGGATCCCAAAGGCACCACAGTGGTTAAGGCAGAATCAAATTGTTCTAACTGTGCAGTGTAGCTGCAGCTCTTTCTTAGGTAGAGCTGGCAGACTTGAGTTTTTGGATTAGAAACCTCAGAATTCATCATTCAGCTGGACATGTTATGTGGGGAATTCTGGGAGCTGTAGTCTAAAAACACGTATCTGCATAGCTTGAAGGTAGCAGGTGTGAGAGAGTGTTCCAGAGATAAACTTAAATTGTCAAAATGTCAGCGTCTCCTCATATTCTACCCTGGATTTATTTTCATTTTAGAAAACAAGCAACCATTTCAACAAGCGAGAAGCTGACGTCAGGACAGAATAATGAAGGGGAATTCTATTATGGTAATTTGTTAACTCTGTTTTGGATGGCTATTTATGTTAAAAACAAAGGATGTGATCAGACGGCGGAAAAGGTGCATGTCCAATTGAACTGGAAAGGGTTGTCTTGCAGGGGTCGATCTTCCTTAAATTGACCGTGCCGTTTGCTAGGGAATTGCTTCAGCTGAGGTCCAAAAAGTAGTAGCCCTACAGCTAGACCAAAAAACATCCGAACTGGGCACAGATTTGGATCAGGATGGAGCACAATTCCGCATGCATCATGTGATCACTAAGAAATAGATTGTACTGGACCAGTCCACAAGTCCAAAATCTGATCCATTTTCCCATGTACTCATGCCCAAATATTATCTTAGCATGTGTAGCTTTCAATAATAAATATTTTATTGATATCCAAGCATGGGTATATGGAAGGGCCTTTTACTTAATATGGTAACACACTGTAAAGGAGAATGTGCAGTACAACAAAGTCTGTGTGCGTGTGTGTGTGGGGGGGGGTAATCACAACTGGCATAGCAGTGTACAACAAAGTCTGTGTGTGTGTGTGGGGGGGGGGTAATCACAACTGGCATAGCAGAATTTGGCCAGACATAAGGAATGCTGAATGAATGGGGTGGTATAGATAGTATTCAGTTTTATATCTTTCACAGGTTTTTAAATACATGTAATAACCTTATGTGCAGTTGCAGAGAATTAAAAAGAGGGTAGCACCGGGATCATTGCTGTCAAACTGCTGCTGCCATCATCCAGGCAGGAAATGTCTTAGGTGGGGTGATGGGAACTGGTCTAGGTGAATGAAAATTGTGCAGGTTCAGTGCATTCCAAATTGCCTTCTTAGAAGTCAAAGAATCACAACTAAAAGAGGAGATTTTTGCTGGATTTCCCTGGTCCAGGAAGGCACTGTAGTTGCTGCTGATAGCAATGGGACCTGCTATCCTCCCCCCCATATGATAAGTTTCTCCCCCTTGAAATCAGCAGCCAGTGAACCATGATCAGCATACTTGCTGTTCTATCTCAGCTCAGATGTCAGGTTGTCTGATGGCCAAACTACATCCTTACAGTTAGGAGAATCATGTGGACCTGGGCAAGCTCCTTCTCTAATCTATTTCGGGATAGCGTCAGCTATGATTGAGCATGAACCCAGTGTAATCTTCAGTTACCAAATCTAACCATAATTTGCTGTCAAACCAGGAGTGCTGTGAAACTAGGATTTAAAAGCTGACTTATATCTTTGCTTTGAGAGGGAACATTAATTATGTGCGATGATGGTATGGTTTGGATGTCACAGCAAAACACTGTACTCTCTGAAGAGGAAAAGGAGGGATAAGGACAGGATATATCCAAAGAGAGTCTGACTCTATTGGATGGTTTCAGTTGGGTATTGGGTATTAGCTCCTGTGTATGATAAAGGTAAAGGTAAAGGTTCCCCTTGACAATTTTTGTCCAGTCGTGTTCGACTCTAGGGGGTGGTGCTCATCCCCGTTTCCAAGCCACAGAGCCAGCGTTTTTGTCCGAAGACAATCATCCGTGGTCACATGGCCAGCGTGACTAGACACGGAACGCTGTTACCTTCCCACCAAGGTGGTCCCTATTGATCTACTTGCATTTGCATGCTTTCGAACCGCTAGGTTGGCGGGAGCTGGGACAAGCAACGGGCGCTCACTCCGTCGCGTGGATTCGATCTTACGACTGCTGGCCTTCTGACCTTGAAGCACAAAGGCTTCTGCGGTTTAGCCCGCAGCACCACCACGTCCCTGCGAAATTGAATTCCTAAGAGGTAAACCCTCGTTTACCTCTTAGGAATTCCATTTCACAGCTAACCATCAGGGTAGGGATCCATTGAAACCAAAACGTATAGCAGTGCTTCCATTTATTCTACCTTTCTTACACAGCCGTCTCTCCAACTCAGATTTCCGCCTGGTAGTACAAAGGAAGAATATATAGCAGGGGAAGCCAAAAGAGCTAGGCAGTCAGACAGGAAAGGGCGACAGCCCTCAGTAGAGAATTGTGATGTTTAGCTTACATAGTCAGCCAAAGAAGCTTGACTGCGACTCTGAAAGTATTCAGTGTATTCCACCTCAGCATTCTCAAGGTCAGGTCCTGTCCCCAAAATATTTCCACCTCAGCATTCTCAAGGTGAGGTCCTGTCCCCAAAATATTAAGAAAGTATTCCTAGCAGGTTGGGATACACACAATCCAGTCAGCTCCGGGGAAAGAAGGGTAGTTCTGTCCTGTATGTCTGGAGTTCAAACGGAGAAATGGAGTTCCTCAGAAACTGTGGAGGGCAAACCCAACGATTAAAGGTCTTCCCTGCATGATACGTAGTGATGAAGAGGATGTGCTTTAAGAGAAGACATTGCTGTTTAGAAGTTGCTGCTAATGAATCTGTTATTTCATCCTGTGTTTTCATTTTCCTTTTTAGGGTCAGATTATAATGAAGATGGTGAAAAAAATCATATAGACTCCAATGAGAACAATACAGGTAATGTTTTGATAATCATTTCCCAGTGTAATTCTAGCTTTTCGAGATATGATATTGTCTGAAGATAGAAATGTAGAATCTGTTATCATCAGACTGGCTTTTAAAACCCTAACAACAGTTAAGGACCAAGTTGCAGCTTGCCTTTGCATATTTGCTTATTAAGAACTGTAAGAGGGGCCACATTTTTTTCTCTCCATCAGAAGCAATAGTCAGATTAGCAGACAAGAAGGAAAGAGTCTTCTCAGCATTCGTCCCTTTTTTATAGGACCCCTCCCCAGGACATTTTGCTCCCCTTTAGACTAGTCTGGAGGAAGGGGCTCCATGGGACAAAGCCCTTGTTGCCTCACCCTAGTGATGACTCTGGGCCAGAAGAATACTCAGACACAAAAAATTCAATGTAATATGTACATCTAAATGTACCTTTGAGTTCTGAAATAAATCCCCATTGCCTAAATATTAGCAATCACAGACAGTCCGCATGACATGCATTTCACAGATGTGTGGTCAGAAGGACAAAGAGATGTCATCACATAATTCATCGGCTTTCAGTCCCTTTATGCTGAGAGCTTTCACCTTTTATTTCACTGGTGTCTACCTTTTAAAATGTGTATTATAATGCTTAATCTTCCAGTATTAAATTTTGCATTGTTTTACCTTTTTCCTTGGTTTTTAATGTTTTAAGCCACCTTGTGAAAAATATTTTGAAAGCAACTTAAAACATATGACGCATGAATGAATGAATGGAATGATTTCCTTTTTTCCTTGGTTTTTAAGCCACCTTGTGAAAAATATTTTGAAACCAACTTAAAACATATGACGCATGAATGAATGAATGAATGAATGAATGAATGAATGAGGCAGTCAGCCAGGTAATCTCATTTCTGTTGAAAAAGCATATAAGGAGCAGACAAAACAGTTCTAGAATATTTTGGAATATGTTTTTTAATCTATTGTCATTGTTTTGCCATCGTTTGCCATTCTGAAAGAGCAAACAGTGCAGTGGCTGTTTCAGCACTCACCCACATACCAGCAATCCCTTCTACAAATAAGGCAGGCCCCTCCCCTCACCCAATTTCCATATATTGGAAGGTGAAGATGACAATAATCTTAGAACTGCAGAGCTGGAAGGGACCCAATGTATCCTCGAGCCCAGCTCCTGTCAAAGAGGCACAAGTGGGGAATTGAACTCCCAAACCTCTGCCTCTGCAGCCAGAGACTTTAGCCACTGAGCTATCCAGCGGGTATCGGAACATTGACACTCGCAACACAGGCAGTTGGCTCATAGTGAGTCAAGCTCCTGGCCCATCTAGCCTATCATATGGAAGGCTCTCCCCCTCCCCTTTTATCCTTCTGCTGACAGCTGAAGGAGTGCCATCTTTTTCAGGCAAGCTTTTAAGAATCATGATTGAGCTCCTGAATGCCTTTTTAAAGATAGTTTTTAATGTTTACCTGGTTTTAATCAATTATATTTTACTTGGTATATAGTTTAATTGTTTTTTAATGTCAATGTTTAACTTACTATGTTTTTAATTCTATTCTGAGTCAATAAGCTGGATGTTTCATTTAAAATTAGCTTAATTTGCTTAGTTGTTGCTTGTTCCTGCCACTCAAACATGGTTTCATGCAGATCAACCAGCTCTTTAAAATAGTACATAGCTGAATTATGGCCAAAATAACCGTACCTGTGCCTTTGATATTGATTGCCTTCTCTTGTTTCAGAATCCCAAACAGAAAGGATATGTCTCTTCTGTAAGGGGTTGAGACCACCGTGTTTCTCCGAAAATAAGAGAGGGTCTTATATTAATTTTTGCTCTGAAAAATGCATTAGGGCTTATTTTCAGGAGATGTTTTATTTTTATTTTCACGTACAACAATCTACATTTATTCAAATACAGTCATGTCATCTTCTTCTGGTTGCTGCCCAAGGGTGGAAGGCGGGGTCTCGCTGAACTGGGGCTTATTTTTGGGGTAGGGCTTATATTACGAGCATCCTGAAAACTCCTACTAGGGCTTATTTTCAGGTTAGGTCTTATTTTCAGGGAAACAGCGTAGTTGTGAGAACCTAGTTTGAGCAGGACTGTGGGAGGTATTGCTCCATACTTTGGAAGGGTTTCTCTTATATTCTGCAAAGATGGCTAATGTTGGAGGAAAGTACTGCTGCTTCAAAGAAGCTAGGTATTCCTTACGCTGCTGAAGATGAGGACAGGTCAAGCTCTGATCGTTTTGCCTGTTCCTTTCTGTGTGCATGTGGGGGGGGGGGGAGGGAGGGGAATAACCTGTCCTTACCAGTTTCTCTTAGTTTTCATGTCTGTTCCGGCCATGGGCAGGGGGAGAATTTGCTGCTTTCACTGGGCTTCTGAAACAGGTGGAGGGAGACTCCCGTGTGTGAATCAGCCATTAGATGTGACAGATGCCTTGTTCTTGTTACCTGTTAAAATGATTTCACTCGTAATAGAATTCCTTGGCAGGTCCTGAGTGCCACACAAAGAAACCTCTTCTTAATATTTTGGGGACAGGACCTGACCTTGAGAACGCTGAGGTGGAATATACTGAAGTGGAAGTCTCGGTTCCTGATCCTTACAGAGGTAATTCAAAAGCTGGTACTTGCAATTGTGTAGCAGAAGTAGCAGCAGGGACCCTCCCCAGTGAGTGATGTTGGTGTCGTAAGTTTCCAACTCATTTCAGAAAGTAGTGGATGCTGCCTTAATTTGTCATCCTACACTAATCGATGTGAAAAAAAACAAAGACCATTACCTCAGGGCCCCGCTGGGCAGGAACTGCACTGCAGGTTACTGAAAACAGGTGTGAAACGTCTTGTTTCACGTGTCCTGCTTTAATGTGAATCTTTCCATTAAACGAGGATGTGGAGCATTCCTCGGCCCACAGGCCAGCTAGCATTGGGAGGCTTCCCACTGTTACTGTGAGAGTGCTGAGGTCAGGGTAGCATTAATTCCTTGCCATACAGTCTTTCCACGCCCTATGAGGAAAGGTTGAAAGAATTGGGTTCTTTCCACACCCTATGAGGAAAGGTTGAAAGAATTGGGAATTTTTAGCCTTGAGAAAAGAAGACTGAGAGAGAGACATGATAGCACTCTTCAAATACTTGAAAGGTTAGTCCTACAGAGGAGGGGCAGGACCTGGTTTTGATCATCCCAGAGTGCAGGACACGTAATAATGGGCTCAAGTTACAGGAAACCAGATTTAGGCCGGACATCAGGCCTAACTGTTAGAACAGTATGACAATGGAACCAAATATCTCGGGAGGTGGCGGGCACTCTGATACTGCAGACGTTCAAGAGAAAATGGGACAACCATTTGTCAGATCTGCTTTGATTTGCATTCCTGCATTGAGCAGAGGGTTGGATTCAGTGGCCTTATAACTCAATTATTCAATGATTCCACAGTTCAATGCAGGGTAAAATGAAACTGCTGGATCTTTTTCTCCACTGCACCCCCCCCCCAGCAAAAACAATGTTGCCAGATAGTCAGTGCTGAGGTGGTTGGGAAACCTTCCTGGAACTGGCTGGACAGCAACGCTGTTCTTGCCTGAGGGACAGCTCCGTTGGCTCTGGTTTTGCTGTATGTCAAGCCCTGACCCAGCGCTCTCAGTAGCCGGGAAGAGTCCAAGGGCTGGCTGGCCAGAACTGACGCCCTGGTGCGGTTTAAAAATAGCACCAATGTGCACTTTTTAAAACTGCACCAGGGCTTGCATATAAGGTAAAACAACAGAAATCACTGCAAGTGACTTTCATCATTTCCAGAAGTTCAACTGCAACCCAGATGTTCTCAATTATGTAATCAATATGCCTCTTTATTTCATTTGAGATACGATGAATGAGTGTGGGAAGAATTTCCATTCAGCAAGGCTTACACATCTCCTGACAACCCTCAACTTATCAACCACTGTCCTGGCAGCTTAATCCACAATGTCTTGATGGCAAAGATGCATCCCACCCATGGGGTGCTGCAAGCAACTGCTTTTAAAAAAATATTTTAATGAATGGGTTGTGCAAGTGAGCTAGACAAATGTCCCATACGTTGACTGAAAAGGGAAGACCTGGTTCTCATGCATTCCCAGATCATGCAGAATGAACGGTGTCCTCCTCATGGCCTTGCTTGTGAAAGGCTGTCCTAATTCTTTACAGTTCAGTCCCAACAACATTCCTGGTCGTGATCCATTTTACAGAATGACTATCCTTCATCCTGACTGTATACTAAAAATAGCATCCCTGGAAAATACGTTTGTGTTGCATCCGGGCTAATACAATGCATGCAGAAAGGACCAACTGTAGAAAATAATTGCCGTGCCTACTTTGGATGTTAGATGTGCCAGTGAATTGCCTTGAAAGAAAGCGTTATGTTTTAGGAGTCTGAACACTGCTGAGAACTCACTCTGTTACTGCATAACCTGTCTTTAGAAACTCTAAATGCCTTCTAAGAGCAGAAACCTTCCTGCTCTCTCTCTCTATGATGGCTGTCATGGTTCCTAAGAGCAGAAACGTATTACCTTCCTGCTCTCTCTCTCTCTATGATGGCTGTCATGGTTTCTTAATATCTTGGAATTGTATTCAATGGCTGGAATACAACAGGTTAGGTTACATATTTGCCCTCCTGGCTTATAGGCTTTGCAGGAGACTTGTTTAGAGTGCCAGCTTAGACTGGGAGGCAATGCAGGAGGGCTTAAATGTTGACACTGCACAGTCGTTTCATTTGTTTTTCAACCACACGTGCCACCCCCTTAAGAGACCCTCCTGCAACCTAGAGGGGCCTGGAACAATTAAAGATGTTGTTTGCATCTTAGGCAGGATTGTGCCCAGTTCATGTTAGATTTGGCAGGTGTTCTGGAAATAGCTAGAAATTCTAGCCACACCTGTGTTCGGCTGTCACTGCACTACAAGGAGCTGTGATGATCTCATAGGATATTTTAAATATAACGCCTGATAAGGTTAAAGGTCCTCCAAGTTGTCTTGATAACACATTTCCTCATTTCCTTTCTCAATAAAACCAGCCCAAATGTCTCACTCCCAGGCTGAGTGTCATGTCTCAGTTCTGTTACAGGCTCTCAGTTTTCCAGAGCTATTTTAATGACTCCTGTTTTGGAACTTATGAAAATATTTATTTACACAGATGGTATTTAAGGAATAGACCAACTGTGGATAGCAAACACATATGCTGTAAAGACCTAATAGGGCATTCCTCAGTTTTACTTGGGGGAAAGTACCTAAGGGCTAAACTATAAGCTACGGATAAACTGCCAGTAGAACTTAAATTCAGAGTCAAACTTCTCTGTCTAAGAAACTGGACTTGCATATCAAGCCTGTGTTTAGCTCCTAAAGACTAATCACAAAACAGAGCAAGTTCATTTGCAAAATCCATGAGGAGAGGAAAAGCTGCTGCTGTGACCATTGATGCTTCAGCTGTTAAGGAAATCTCTCTTCTAATGACACAGTATCTGTAATGTATAGTTTCTCCCTTAGTGTCTCGCCTATGTTTTACTTTGAGCAGAAGAATGACTTGGCAAGAGATGAACTGCTAGAATCAAGGACCTTGCTTTTCAGAAGCCGTATATGACAGACTATGGGGATGAAGAGGTAGGAAAGGTATAGGTATAAACCCAGTCCTACATTGCCCCAGCCAGCTATGGAGACAGGAAGTCTTGCGTTTTCAAGAAAGGATATGGTAAATGTAAGAAATACATCAGCACCAAAATGTTTACAAAACCCTATTTTGTTAAATATTTTCTCTAGGTTTTTATTGGGGGGGGAGGAAGGAGAAAATGCTGTGGCAATTCAAAGACTAATAGATTTGTTTCTGCACAAGCTTTTGTGGATCAAAACCCACTTCCTCAGGTGCGTTTGAGGAAGTTGATTTTCACCCAGAAATGCACACACAAACAAAAGAAGTGTATTTATTTATTTATTTGTTTGTTTGTTTGTTTGTTTGTTTGTTTGTTTGTTTGTTCGTTGGTTGGTTGGTTGGTTGGTTGGTTGGTTGGTTGGTTGGTTGGTTGGTTGGTTGGTGTCCATCTCTAATCTCAGGTCTAGTGGACAAGTCAGTGCTCTGGACAGCTTGCAAGAAAATAGTCTGCATATACAAACAAAACTAAAATAGTAAACATAAAAGCAGAAGCCCATCCTCACCCCTCCAGTCTAATACATGTTCCAAAACTCAGGATGGTGAACTGTGGGGTCATCACTGAACTGCCTCAAAATCGAGATTAAAAAAGGGGTGAGGTCTTCAAAGACCTGGGTAAAGAGCCAGGTTTTAATTTGCTTCCAAAAGCTTAGGAGTAGAGATGGGCATGAATCACTGGTTCATCAGCTTATCCCAGTTCGTTGGCTGCCCCCACATCTGTTCCATGGTTCAGCATCCACCCCCTCCAGCAGGCATTCACTCAGAGGTAGTGCCTGGAGGAACCCAGGCAGGGAGGCTGGGACAGTGCCTCCAGGTGGGTGCCTACCAGAGGGAGTGGGCCTCAGAACCATAGAACGGCGTTGGGGCTGGTAAACGAACTGGGATGAACTGCTAAACCGGTGGTACGTCCCCATCTCTACTCAGGAGGGTGGGTGCCGCCCTCCTGTTCGTTCTTCTGGTGTCAGAATATTTTGTCTTCCCCCCTGTTTCCGCCTCCCAACACGCTGAAATGGATTAACATGACTACCTTTTTGGAAAATTGTACAGCTTTGTGATCTTTTCCAGACCTCTCAATAAGGAAAATTATTTTCCAAGGGGATGACAGTGATCTAGTTTATGAGAACAACGTATTTGTTATTGGTTGCCTGAGTACGCAGCAATGTTAGGCTTTTTCTTATAACTTTCTTTGTGGCCCTTCCCCTTTGGATCACTTCTTCCCTTCCATCCTTCCCACCTTGCTGGCCTCCCATTAGAGTGTGATTGGGTCCCCAGATGTTCTTGGACTACAACGAGAACAACGTATTTGTTATTGGTTGCCTAAGTATGCAGCAGTGTTAGGCTTTTTTCTTGGACTACAACTCCTAGAAATCCTGGCTAACACAGGTAGAGGTGAAGGCTTCTGGGAATTTTAGTTCAAGAACATCAGAGGGTTCAAAATTGGGAAGCTCTACACTTAAGACTGCCTTTAGAAATACATAACGGAAACACTGACTTTGTTACGTTCAGTATAAAATGGATAAAAGGTAAATAGTAGGGAAATTAGTGTTAAAAAGGAAGTTATGGAGAAGCATTCTTAGCTCAGGGACTGTCTAGAGCACTGGTTCCCAACCTTAGGTCCCCAGAAACCTTCACCACTGACTGTGCTGGCCAGGGTTTCTGGGAGTTGTAGTCCAAGAACATTTGGGGAGACAAGGTTTGCAACCACTGGTCTAGAGGGCGAAAATGACTTTTCCAATTGGAAAATATTGTTAAACCAGCATGTAAGTGATTGCATACTGATATATTTTCCAGCTCCTGTGACAAAGAAGAATGAGACAGTTTATACTGAAATCAGAAAAGCAATTAATGGTGAGTGAGAGGAAAGTTTTGTTCATAAACTCCATTTTCTAAAAAAAGAGAGAAAGAATAAAACATAATTTACTTGTGCTGCAATTCTGTACTTATAGCTTGGGAGTTGATGGGCCAGAATCCTGCTGGTATCATGCAGCATAAATTTTGAAACCATGCAAGTGGTAGGCACAATCTTGCCAGCTGTCCAGTGCGCTTGGATGTGCCTGGGTTGTGCAACTGGTTGCATACTTGTTATGTACCTAGGATCTTGACAGTAGCCAGTAAAGTGCTAAAGATATTTGCATGGGTGCCCTTAGTTTATGATGTTTCATAGTAGGGTTTGGGCAAGACATGTTATTGAACAGCAACGTACAGGATGATACCCTTGTGAACTTACAGAAGAGCAACTCCAGCTGCCATTACACACCCACTTATCTGCATATGAGGCCAAAAATGCAAAGGAACTTACTTTTGAGTAGACAAGTACTGTATAGAATTGTGCTGCAAAGCAGTTAATATGTGGAATTAATTTTTTTAAAAAAATTATTGTGTCCTTGCATGTTAGAGCAACGGTAGAAACGTCATTACATCCGTTTTTCTTACTGGGTTGTTCTTATTTCGCTAGCCTCAGTAAATCATTTCATTTCATAACGAGCAACAACCTCTGTGAACTGGTTTTGTAATGGCTTATGGTTAGAAAACTTTTACTGCTTCCCAGTTTCTTGTTTAATATAGCAAAATCTTCTCGCTTCTGCTTTGTTGTTCCTTTCCTGCTTCCCTTATTTTACCACTCCTTGCTTGCCTTTTCTTTCTTTCTTTCTTTCTTTCTTTCTTTCTTTCTTTCTTTCTTTCTTTCTTTCTTTCTTTCTTTCTTGATTGATTGATTGATTGATTGATTGATTGATTGATTGATTGATTGATTGATTGATTGATTGATTGATTGATTGATTATATTTATAACTTATAAGCTTGCCACTACTCTGAGCAGTTTACAAAAGTCAAACATATTCCCATGACAATTAAAACTTGCACAGGGATTGCTCAAGGAATCTCTTGTGTGGGGAGGATGGACCTGAGTGCCTCTTTGAATCGCTCCGTTTTGACTTGTTCCCTGAAGGGACAGAAGAGAGGGGAGTTTTGCGTACATCAACAGGCAGTGAGTTCCATAATGTCACGGCCACTACCCAAAACACTCGGGTCCTGGGGGTTTTCTGGGGGCCCTACAACCATAAAGCCCGAGATGATTGGTTGGAGAGGATCTGAGTAGAAGATTGTAGTGAGAGACACTCCAACAAATACTGAGGTCTCAGGGTATTTAGGGCTTTGTAAGTTAAAATTAGCACTTTGCTAACTTTGAATTTGGCACAGAAGCAGACAGGGAGCCAGTGCAGGCTTGCCAGGATCAGGGAGATATGATCGCATCTACAAACTCCTGAGACCAGCCTGCTGTAACTTCTGCTTCACCTTTAGAGGCAGCCCCATGGAGAGAGCATTGGGGTAACTGATTTTTGAGAGTACCAATGCCATGAGCAAGTGCGGTCAGAGATTTCCTGCCCAAATGAGGCCACAAGTGTGCAATCTACTGAAGATTGTGGGGGGAGGGGGAGGGAAGGCAGACCTGGCCACAGAAGAAATTTGCTTCTCCATAGACAGAGTGATTTTTTTTGCAAAGTGTCAGGCAAACTGTTCACAGCAGACTGTAAAATGGTCCAGAGTTTCCTTTTGAAGGCTGTCTAACAGCCCCTGACCACAGGAAACAGCCCTGATGTGTGTCTCTGAAGAGATGTAATGCTGGCAGAGAAAAACAGCATCTTCGTTGCCAGCATCACCATGGAGTAGGTCTTCCAAAGACCTCTAGCTGAGTTGATCAGATTCACTCCTAAGTTTTCTGCCATCGTCTTCATCTTCCTCCTTTCATCACCACCAGTAGCTTGGTAAATCAAGGGCCTAGTTTGGCCTCATGCTGTGGTATGGACCGCTTAGGAGCAATTTGGTTGACTGCCTTGGTCCATTCCCTGCTCCAGAGATCAACCAGGACTTTGATAGAATTGAATGCCAAGGCCACAGGAACTGTAATGACTCCCCAAGAGCCACCAAGAAACCATTAGGACCCTTAAGCCTCTTGGAGCGAACTTAATTGCCCTCCCCTCCATGCTAGCAGTAACACTCATATGAACAATTTAAAAATCTGCAAATATAGTGCAGTTTGAATCCCATAGAATCTTGAATGCAGAGACAGGATGCTAATACTGTATATCCATGTCAAGGATGGTATACTTATAAGCTTGCCACTACTCTGAGCAGTTTACAAAAGTCAAACATATTCCCATGACAATTAAAACTTGCACAGGGATTGCTCAAGGAATCTCTTGTGTGGGGAGGATGGACCTGAGCGCCTCTTTGAATCGCTCCGTTTTGACTTGTTCCCTGAAGGGACAGAAGAGAGGGGAGTTTTGCGTACATCAACAGGCAGTGAGTTCCATAATGTCACGGCCACTACCCAAAACACTCGGGTCCTGGGGGTTTTCTGGGGGCCCTACAACCATAAAGCCCGAGATGATTGGTTGGAGAGGATCTGAGTAGAAGATTGTAGTGAGAGACACTCCAACAAATACTGAGGTCTCAGGGTATTTAGGGCTTTGTAAGTTAAAATTAGCACTTTGCTAACTTTGAATTTGGCACAGAAGCAGACAGGGAGCCAGTACAGGCTTGCCAGGATCAGGGAGATATGATCGCATCTAGAAACTCCTGAGACCAGCCTGCTGTAACTTCTGTGTCACCTTTAGAGGCGGCCCCATGGAGAGAGCATTGGGGTAACCGATTTTTGAGAGTACCAATGCCATGAGCAAGTGCGGTCAGAGATTTCCTGCCCAAATGAGGCCACAAGTGTGCAATCTGCTGAAGATTGCGGGGGGAGGGGGAGGGAAGGCAGACCTGGCCACAGAAGAAATTTGCTTCTCCATAGACAGAGTGATTTTTTTGCAAAGTGTCATGCAAACTGTTCACAGCAGACTGTGAAATGGTCCAAAGTTTCCTTCTGAAGGCAAGTGTCTAACAGCCCCTGACCACAGGAAACAGCACTGATGTGTGTCTCTGAAGAGATGTAATGCTGGCAGAGAAAAACAGCATCTTCGTTGCCAGCATCACCATGGAGTAGGTCTTCCAAAGACCTCTAGCTGAGTTGATCAGATTGACTCCTAAGTTTTCTGCCATCGTCTTCATCCCACTCCTTTCATCACCACCAGTAGCTTGGTAAATCATGGGCCTAGTTTGGCTTCATGCTGTGGTATGGACCCCTTGGAGCACTTTGGTTGACTGCCTTGGCCCATTCCCTGCTCCAGAGATCAACCAGGACTCTGATAGAATTGAATGCCAAGGCCACAGGAACTGTAATGACTCCCCAAGAGCTACCAAGAAACCATTAGGACCCTTAAGCCTCTTGGAGCGAACTTAATTGCCCTCCCCTCCATGCTAGCAGTAACACTCATATGAACAATTTAAAAATCTGCAAATATAGTGCAGTTTGAATCCCATAGAATCTTGAATGCAGAGACAGGATGCTAATACTGTATATTCATGTCAAGGATTGTATTATATCTTCTTACAATAAAACAGATATTTTCTCAGTTTTAGATTATATAGTGCTTCTATGTGACCCCCCTTTTTTCTTAGAATTATAATTAAAGAAAAAAATTAACAGATGGTAAGGTACCTTACTGCCCTCCATTTGGAGAGCTGCTATTCTCTCATTTTAAATGCTTAATTTTATTTGTTAAAAAGCTAGTATGGTGTAATGGTAACGTGCAGGACTAGGATTGTAGGACTAAGGTCCCATTCCACATTCGGCCATGAAGCTCACCAACTGATTGATGAATAATAAGTAAGGCTGCAATGTTACACACCTACCTGGGAGTAAGCCCAGTTGAAGTTAATGGAACCTGCTTTGGAGGAGACGTGTACTGTATTGATTTGCACTGTAACACTCTCATCCTAACCTATTTCACACGGTTGTTGTAAAAATAAAATATATTAAAAATAATACATAGGCCACCTTCAGCAACATGAAGGCCAAGTGGGAAATAAATGAAACACTTAATGTATAAACACTTCTTAATGCAATCATGTCACTCAGTAAGGTCTTTGTTAAATTAGGAAAAGCCAGGGGGAACGTAGCTTTCACTTTCATGGGAAAATGTTGAGGAAACTCATCCTTTCAGAAGGACATCTCGGGCAACAAAAAACAATCTTTGCAACAGCTTTTACAAACATTGATTCAATAAACAACTTATATAAGGTCAGTAACTTGGTTAGAATAATCATTATCTATACCATGAAAAGAAAATACCTATGGTAACATAATGCAGTTTCCCGCTGTAAACTCTTATGATACTGTGATTGGGTTCATTTGAAAGTTGATGCAGTTCCTCAACTTTGGTGGGAAATAACTAATGAGACTTGTCCGTACTGTTTACAACTTCAAATTTATTAACTGTCGGTGTTTTAACAACCACCACAACTGGATTGAAACAAGACAAATCAGGCAAAGGTCCATAACTAGATGAGGATAGTTCTTCTTGAAAATTAGGATAACTCACTGAGAGGCTGGACCAAAATGCTCCTGATCCAGGGGATTCCGCAGGGGGTACTCTGTACCGCGCAAACGGTGCTGCAACATGGGTGTCGAGCCCGGTCCCCCTCTTTCAGTGGCTTGTTGTACGTCTGATCCAGTCGGATCACCTTCCTTCCACCTTCTTGCCCCTGTGGGAAAACAATCACTGTCTATTCTGGAGTTTCAAATGTCGCTTCTCCTTCTCTTTTCACCTCTGGGTCTGGTAACAACCCACCGACCTTTAGGTTAGGGAAGTCTTTCAAAAGACCAGACATTCTCTCATATTTTGAATCTACTCCTTCATTTTCATATCTCCTCCCCAATCTCCTCTGTCCTCATGCCAAACAAACCTTATTGCTCTCTTTGATGAAGTGACTAAATTAGTGGACCAAGGAAACATAGTGGATAT